GGCCTGGCTGTCCGAGGGGAGCTGCAGACGCCTCTGTTTTGCCAGAGCGGGTGCTGCTCTCGTCTGCCAGCCCCCTCCGGCTCTGAAGCAGAGGCCACGTTTGGTGGTGATCCCGAACCGCATGTGCCGTGGCCGCGGTGTCAGTGAACAGTCCCTTGGCGGGATGGCCCAAGTGCACGTTTTGTTCTGGGAAGGCAGCGTTAGCAGCCCACAGCAGTGCGGGTGGCATTTTGTCTCCGTCCATCAGAGGTTCCGCAGGTCGTGGAGATGGGTCCTGTGTTGTGCTGTTCCCTGCACATCTGGAGGTGTCTCTCTGAAACATTAATAGCTCCAAGTGCAGCTGGCAATCTGCTGTTTTAATGAGGAGTTTATTCCTGACCTGAAATCTCTTGAAAAGAAACAAAACCACATCTTGTGGAGAAGAAGAGGAGACTCAGTGATGCTTGCTGGTTACAGGGAGTTGCTAACAACAAATTGCTTTAAATAAATGAATAAATTGCAGCTCATTCTTTTACTCGGTGAATGTTACTGCCTTACTGTCATGCACAGGGGTGGGGGTGTTTGAAATGACTGATCACAGAAATTTTCTGAATCCCATGGCACTTAACTTGCAGTCTGCTTGTTGCTGGTGAGTGGCTTGAAATTTCCATGAATGGCAACCCCTCAGAACGATGCAATTGCAGCACTCTGCTACAGGAGAATTTTGTGTAGTTGCTCTTTTTAGATCCCAGTCTTTTTACTGGCCTTTGGCTGTTACTAGCTTGCAAGGCCTGTATTCTTAAAGCACTCTAGGAACCAAAATCCTATTTATAGTGGTAATTTTTTTTATTAATTTAGTGAAGATAATTCACACAGATAAGACATCCACAGCCAAGAGAGATCAAAGAATCAGCATGGCACCCAGTTATTCACAATGTAGCATATCCTCATCATAAATTCTCTTTAATATAGCTTTAAGTGACTACAAGAATAATAATCAGGCAAATAGATATAGTTTAATTAAACTGAATGGGTTAATGCATTAAAGTAGGTTGGGAAATCATTGTGGAGGAGATGACTTTTATGTTCAGGCTGGTTGAAAGTAAAGGCTTTGTTTCTTTTTATAGCAGACCACTATTCTGGACTCCAGCGCGCTGAAAACTCGTGCACAGCTCAGCAAAAAGAGACGCCATCGGGCTCCTATTTCCCACTCGCTTAGAAGAAGCAGAGGGCTGGAGTATGAAAACAGATTTTCTTTGACGGAAGAACCAGATAATACCTGGATGTTTAGAGATTCCACAGGTATCCCTCAACTATCTGAAATACTTAGCCGTCATCGACTGTAAGAGCAGGAATTTCTAAACCGTATAACACACCTGAAGTAGCATCCAGGTTTAACAGCTTCCTTTTCCCACCTCTGGGTCATCCTCGAAATGAAGTTGTTGTCTTCATGCCTTGGAGCCTGTGGAGTGAGGGAACAGCAGTAGCCAGACCTACAGATGAGCAGGGCGAGGGAGAGCTTTGATGCAATTTCCTTTAGCTTCTGGCTGCTGACTGAAGAGAGTTTGGTTCACTGAGAAAATACTGAGTTCAGAAACTGCTGTGGTTGGATGCATTCTCTAGCACATGCTTTATATCTAAGCCTGTGTGTTATTGATAAGAGCAACTGTAATTATTCATATTCTATAGGTGCTCATAAATATTCTTTCTAGCAGCTGTAAGTACTACAGGACTAAAGAGGCCTAGTTAAGGATAAATCAACTCCTTCAAATCCATTCTATTAAAGATCTGCTCCTCCTGGCCTGTCCTGTTCCTTAGGATGCATTAAGGAAATGCATCGGGCCTTGAAAATGCTTGCTTGGGGAAGAGAATGAACGGCTTAATGCACGTGCTCATGATGGACGCATGGTTTAGTACCTGCGGCACTTTGGTCCTGTGGTGGTATGTGCTGCAGACACCCTTCTGATACCCCCGAGCGGAGGAATTGCTGGTGTTGCAGCCTCTTCTTCAGAGAGGCTGGTGATGTGTTTGTAACTGAGGGGCCCTATTAAAAAAGTCGGTTTTGTGACCTGCGTTTCTGCTTTCCCTGAAAGCCTGTGAGGGTAGGGAAGAACTGTGATCAAACTGCTCTCTTCTGTAGCCTCCCAATCAGTGGAAACGCTGTTACCTGTGTGGTGGTTGCTTTGGTGCAGGTCTACCAGACCTAAAATATTTTTGAAGACTTACCTTGAAAAGAAACGTTGTACTGGAAGCTGGAGTTCCATTATCAGCTGAGGACCCAGTGCGTGTGAAGGCGACCACACCATTGCGCCTTTCCTGGTAGTGTGCGGGCTGGGGGTGGGCCAGAGAACTCTGAGATGTCTCTTCCCATCTAAAGAAGTCTCACATTCTGTGATCAGCTCAGGTGTATAGAAGCAGCAACGTTCATTAAATTAGGAGTACCTTCTGCTCCCTCATCTCTGTCGGCAAGAGATCTTTCCACTGCTCAGTACTTAGTATGTTTGTTGCTTTGATCCCTCTTGAAGCGCTGAACTCGGTTCCGTGGTGTGTTGATACTGCTCTTCATACGTTTTTGAATGGAAGGAGAGATCTAGAACAAGGTATAGATGAAAAGCGTGCTGACTAACGGGGTTTTTCCCTCTTCTATGTTTTTTTTTAACAATTAATTAGAAGAGAAAAAAACTATGCAACAGGAAGATTCTGATGAGGAAGAAAAGGTACAGCATACTGCAAGATCGTCCTCTGCGCACGCTCAGAGACTTCCCATATTTCCAGGGATGGACCCCGCCGTGCTCAAGGTGAGCGTGGGCAGGACACGCAAGCAGAGTCAGGCCGGTTCGGTAGCTGCAGGTGCTCTCCAGGAGTGCAGCTAGGAGACTGTGCTGGAGATGACAGTGTTCTCCATGGGGCATGGCTGTGAGGTGTAGAAGATCTTGCAGTTACCTTTCTCACTTCTAACTGTTGGCTCGAAATATGGAGCGCTTTGGAAAAAAATTAGCTTCGCAATAGCAAATGCGCTTTCAAAACTGCATAGGTTTGTAAGGGATCCCTTCACTGGTTTCAGGCATGGGGTTTTTGTTTTTATAAATCTGAGTAATTTGTGTTGCACTCCAAAAAAAAGTCTGAATGCTGGCTTAAAAAAGAGCCCTCTGCTTTATTTTTATATTTAGGCCCAACTGCGGAGAAGACATGAGTCTGAGAGTCCTGGTGAAGCAAGTTCTGCTCAGCAGTTCAGATCCCCGAAGCTGCAGCTCGGAGCTCCTGGCAGCAGAGTGCTGCCCTCCAGCGTGGAGAAGGAGGACAGGTGAGAGCCTGCCACCCGTGCAGAAAGACACCAGGACTCCTTTTTGTGGGGGGAAAAAAGGAGTGGAAGTAGGCTTCCCAAGGCTGTAGGGGAAATTGGGGATTTCTTTTTTTTTTTTTAAATTCTGTAATGAGTTTTGTAATTAAAGAATAAGGATTATTTTTTTTATATCTTAGGTCAGAAGAAAAGTCTCCACAGTGGCTGAAGGAGCTGAAATCAAAGAAGAGACAGAGCCATTACGAGAATCAGGTTTGAAAAGGTACCTCTGGCAGAAAGAGGGGCTTGGCTAAGGAAACGCACGTAGTAATAAAAACACGCGTGGAAGGGGTTTCGGTAACCTGTCAGTATGGCAGCTCTGGGTGGAAATATTAACGCAGACTTCCCGTGAAGCGTGCGCCCAGGAATGTGAAGTAGCTCTGTGCAGAGGCAGAGCAGTTCTTGTAGAAGTGAGGTGTTCATTCGCGGGTGATGCAGTCTCGCTGATCTCTGCAGAGAATTTCACGTTGACAGCGCTCGGTTGTGCTGCCATTTCGCAGTGCTTCCATCAAGCAGGAGCGAGGCTGTCGCTGGATAACTGAGGCTTGCACACATTTTATAAATCTGGACTGCTCTTGAGCATCTGGCACATTAAATGGGACGAGACAAAGGTGGCCTTGCAACCAGAATACGTATTTGTGGGGGCTTACCTGTTACAGATGCTGAGAGAGGCCTAAATGCTTGCTCGACCGTGTCATACCATTGCTTCAATTGCTTCTGTTTTTCCTTTCCAGATAGTGATTCTAACGAAAAGAAGATGAAGAAGTTTGACAGAAGCCTTAACTCATCTGAACCTAAAATTCACACGTCATGTTGCTGCTGTTTGCTTCCTGCCTCAACTGCTATGTGCATGGTGCCTTCCTGTTTCGTGGAGAAAGCTGCTTAGTGTTCATAGTCAAACACAAAGCTGTATCTTTTCAGATGAGGGAGGACAGTCCCCGTAGACCTGCCTGGAAGAAGGACCGGGGATGCAGGGTTAGCACTTGAGAAAGCCTTGAAAGATCGTAGGGTTTGAGCTAGGAGCGCTGTGCACCGGGAAAGTCCCCTCGCTGTGAGCAAAGGCTGCGCTGCTGCGTAGGTGTGCAGCAACTCGGGAGGACGACCTTCGGTAGGCATGTCAGGTGTAAGGCTGGGCTTTGTGTTTGTCTATGAAAATAACAATTTTAATCAAATTTATCTTTTTTTGTGAAAAAATAGTAAGCTCCTGTTTAGAATGAAGTTTGTGGAAGGTGAGAGTGAAAGAACAAATTATGTTTACTGCCATATTGAAAAAGGAAACTTGATTATTTTTTGTAAAACGTATTTTTGATTGGCTTATATTTACGTGTGATCTGCTGACCTAGCAGATGAATGTAATTTTTAGATGAACAAAATCTTAACTTTTGTCACTCTTGAAGTGGTATATTCTGTGTTTTGTCAGCATGTGGAATAATTGCTTCATTGGAGTGTCTTTCCTAAAAAGGATCAAGCAATAATGTCAACCAGTTCTCTTTAAAAAAAAAAAAAAAAAATAAAAATTGTAAATAATGTTTTTATAACAAAAAAGGAAGGGAAGAGGGAGGCTATTACACTCATATCAGGGTTCCCGTTAATTGTTGAATGTCACTTTAATAGCAGTTTGGATAGTCCCACTTCATATTTTTATTCGCTAATCTGTAAATACCAGGTTTAAGTTTTTATTTTTGTGCTGATTTTGTGGGATAACCTAAATGTGAAGATCACCTAAGTGTGATCTTCAATTTCTCTGGTGATTTACTTTTCTTCTTCTGGTAAGACTGATGTTATAATAGCAGTATGGATATCTCATGCATAACACGGGTGTTATGAATATCACTAATATCTGAAATATGTTAATATCCTTGAATACAGATTCTGAGATCAACCAAGATGTCCATTTAAGACGTACTTTATTCTTTCCCCGAAGAAGTGCTCTTTTCAGTAAACCTTGAAAAATGTAGCCCAACGAGGGAGGGTATTCTGTCGCGTCAGCGTTCCCCTCGACTCGACTGAGCGAGCCGCAGCGCGGGCAGCCGCAGCGAGAGGGGAGCGCCCCGTGCCCCCGGGCACCGTGGGACGGCCGGGCAGCGGCGAGCTGCACCTCCCGCGCCCTGCTGACGGGCTTCGCTAGGTATTGAAGATAAAGCACCAGCACTTGAACTCATTTTCCTTTTTTTGTTGTTTTTTTGTTTTTTGTTGTGACCAGCGTTTCAGAAAGCTTGATTTCTGTGGGGTTACCACAGCGGTGCGTCTGCGAGCCAGAGTGGCGTGCCTGGTCTGCTGTCTGTCAAGCTTGTCGCTGCCAAACCCACGTGCCAATTCTCCTCATGGAGGAGTCGCAGATGAGGTGATTTTTAGTCCCAGTCTGCTCACAGGAAAGAACAGCAGTGTGTCAGGAGACGAGTCCCATATGCGCCTGTCTCTCTCCCAGGCTTAGTCCGATAGCGGCTCCGTGTGCGTGATGGAGATGAGATGGGTACGTGTCTCTTGTGTAGAACAGTCTTTACTTGCTGCTTTGCCCTGTTTCACATCAGAGCTGTTGCCACTGTTTTACAGCCCCTTCTGACCAGTTAAGAAATGATCACCCGAGATTTCTGCCAAGCGTTTCGTTCTGAGTGGCTTCTAACTGGGCGATGGGAGATGGAATGCGCCCGACCAGACTGTTAAAGAGCTCCTCTTAGCGAATTTTAAAACGTTGCACAGGTTTTCTTCTTCCCTTTTCTCTAGATGACGGTGGAAAGGGTGACTTTTTAAGATAAGCTTTGCATATGTGTCTTTTGGGATATTTTTTTTGACGGCAGCGCTCGAGGGTACCGCCAGCTGCATGCCACGTGCGACAACGCACGCTTGGGTCAGCCCCGAGCAGCGGCGTGGGCAGGCGTAGGAGAGGAACGGTGATGGCTTTTCTCACCCGGATGAAGTGGGGCTTACTTCAAACAGTATCTAGAAATCAGGTAAATTCCCCCTGCTTACAGGAGTGTTACACAGGCTTGATTTTCGAATTCAGCAGGTTGACAGAGTGGCATTGCCGACAGTTGGAGGAGTTACTGGTTCTTGGTCGAATAAACAAAGGCCAGAGGTTCTGCCCCTGCAGGGTTTGCTCGGTGTTTGCGGAAACGGAGGGGATCAATGCGAGGTTTCCCCAAAGCCCGGTGAATGTGTGTGCGTTTCCACATCGCTTGGACGATGCACTGAAACTGACTGTGTGTAGTAGCTGAACATACTACTGAGAAATGTTTAATGCTTAAGTGTCCGATTAAAAAGCATCTTTAGAATGTTGTTGAATGGGAAAGTGTTTTTTTCTGCTCTATCATTTCTTTATATTGTACATGGATTAAATATCTACTTCCTTCTCTTCAGGTTATCACTATGTAATAAAGATATATAAATATGTTATTACTTCTGAAATGATAGAACAAACTGTAATACACTTTATATAATTCTATTTTAATTCCAAATATTGCTCGTTTGATTTCTTTACGCTTTTACTTTTGTTGCTACATGCCTTTTTTGCCATTGATACAGGATGGGAGTGAGCTCTGAGCTTCAGCGCTTGCTTCAGGTGTGCTTCAGAGCAGGCTTCAGCTCTTGTCCGAGCAGTGTCTGAGGAGTAACGAGCGTGATGGAGATCCTGTCCCTCCCCATGGAGTGCAGTGCCCTCGTCCCTGCTGGTACAGCTGCTCACCTTTTTTTCGCTTGCTTAAAAAGCTGCATCAGTAATATTTTTTTAAAAGTGAAAGTACATGGTTTGTGGGATTTAGAAACACTTCTTTTCCGATTGCACTTCTCTCCTTATTACCAGAATTCCTCCCTCTGTTTTAGTTTGTAATTTGGGGAGTTTGTCAGTTGTGGATTCACGCTGCTGTTCTGTTTCTTTTTATTGGAATCCCCGGTTGTGGATTTCCTCCTCCTTCTGTTTGCAAGTTCACCCGTTTAAGGTCTGTGCAGCTTGAATTTGAGCCCTTAGCTGTTCCGAGTCTTGCTGCCCTGGTTTTGCTCCCTGCAGAGAGAGAGGCAGCGTTTCTGTTCTGCAGCCTTTGAAGTCTGAAACCCCCTTGTGAAGGGGCCCTATCGGAGTTATCCCCCTCGCCTTTTTGCTTGCACAAGAGCGTGTTTCACGCTGCTGTTTGCTGGCAGACAATTTTTGGCAAGCTGTTAAATGCACGGTGTGTCAGGTGTGTAAATGCAAGCTGCTGATCGGCCGTTTCATGGGGCGCAGCAGCATCAGGTGCTTCGTAGCCTGTGGTGCTTGGGCAAACACGGGGCAGTGCGCCCGCTGTGCGAGGCGTTCGGCCGAGGCACGGTGTGAAACGGAGAGCTGGCATACCGAAATAGCTCGGAGGGGATCGGGGCACTTCTAAGACAAGTATCATGTAAATAGGTTAAATACAACGCTTTAAAAGTCTGTGCCTCAGTAAAAGGCACCTCTGTCTCTGCCTTTTTCCCTTTACTATGAAAAATACCTGGTGCCGACACCGCAGCAGGGCTGCCCGGGGTGCTGCTGCCCGAAACGGAGAGCTGGCATACCGAAATAGCTCGGAGGGGATCGGGGCACTTCTAAGACAAGTATCATGTAAATAGGTTAAATACAACGCTTTAAAAGTCTGTGCCTCAGTAAAAGGCACCTCTGTCTCTGCCTTTTTCCCTTTACTATGAAAAATACCTGGTGCCGACACCGCAGCAGGGCTGCCCGGGGTGCTGCTGCCCGCGGGAGGCGAGGGGGGCGTCCGGCCACGCAGGATGGCTCTTCCGCAGGTGTCCAGGGCAGAAGCTCCTGGAGCCGTGTTCTCAGCGCTGTTGCTCTGCTGCCAAGCCAGCCCCGGTGAAGGAAACGGACTGTTCCAGCCTACACCAGACCGTGCTCGCGTGAGGAAGATGCCTGTGGTCAGAGGTCACTGTCTTCACCGTCCTGAAGGACCCGTGTGTGGTGTAGAAGCAGCAGAGCAGCCTGCAGCCCAGCCTGCGTCGCAAGGCGTGAAGGATGAGCTATAGGGTCCCTTCCATGATGCTCTGTGTTGGGGGGGTCACCCCAGCCGCTGCCCGCGGGCTGAGGGCCGGAGGTGGAGGTCTCACCGTCCTCAGAGAGAAATGCTGCGAAGGAAACGCAGGTGTGGGCTTGTTCAGCCTGAAGAAGAGAAGGCTGCGAGGGGACCTTATAAATGCCTACAAATATCTGCAGGGTGGGTG